GGAAGTTCGCGGTCGGTTTGGTGGAAACGTTATTTTGGGAAGCGAGTAAACGCCGGTCAATAGTTCTACAAGAACTTTGCTCGTGTCGTATGAGTTACTCCTTATCTCCTTCGGTTATCGTCCCTGCCTGTGGCGATGCACGGACTACATAGATCTCTCCGTGCGCGCGTAAGCGCATCCTTAATTCGGATGCGCCATGATTCTCCGTTGATAGTCTACTCGACGACAGATTCCCTTGCGTAATTTATGCGGTCACTCAACGATTTCCTGCCGCGAGAAATTCGAGTGAAAATCAAACGATTCGGGACGACCATCTTTATAAAGCATACTGCATTCTGGATTGGCATGCTTGCCTGGTTGCAATTGAAATTGAAACTGTATGCATGCATGTATGTGTCTACTGTGTATTAATTTATTTCAAACTCCTCTGAATGTACAATTTATGTTACAAAAGAAGGACGTGATGACTCTCGATCTTAAATACCAACTTCTAGAATTGGTAATTTATTCAAGGATCGTGAAATAAGGATGCCAAGATTTCTTTCGACTCGTTTATTGGCCCAGAAATGGACTTGGTTTACAATTTGCCTCTACTTACTCATCCCTCCGTACCTTCGTCATTCCATCCTCTCTCCACTTTCTTATTCTTCTTCTTAGTTCGATTCGTTTATTAAATTTTAAAATACAGAGATTCTAAACTAGATTGTAATTCTTCGTTTGGTACCGTTCAAACAATTCAGGTTATTGCAATATAAACGTGTACAGATGGTCCCATTCTAGTCACATACGTGCGACGCATGGCAATGAAAGGATTAACGGTATTCTGTGTTTCAACTTAGCAATTCCGATTTTCCCTATCGATTCTATCGTATCCACTGTTGTATACTCGCTGAATCATCATCGACATTGCATAATCAACATTTCCAAGAACATAACAAAAGCTTAGACTAGTTAGAACTAGACATGCAATAGCAGACAATCGCGATAAATTAATCACCCATCTGCGCTCGTTATCGCGCAATGATTAGCCCCCTCCCCCTCTCCCGTTGTTATCCTGTCACGTTCAATTAGACCTATACCGGGAACGAATCCATTATATCGAACGATCGTTACGGTTACTGAACCCAGTCTCTAAGTATCGGTTGATAGAGACATAAATAATCGTCGCGGCATCGAGTTGCGCGATAAAATTAATCACGGTTCACGATGCTCGCAATGCTCCCGCAAGGTAAATGGTAATTTACAACGTCTGGAGATTCGTGGATCCTCCTTGGTAATTCTGGCTGCGCGTAATAATCCACGAGAACGATTTATGAAGCTCGCCGAGCTAGAATATTCCAGGGAGCTGTGTTTTCCGAGCTGCGTTTAGATTATCGGATCATTCATCTTTCTTTTTTTTTTTTTCTTTTTACCAAATTGCTGGGGAATAAAGTGAAACTATAAAGGGTAGCAATTATTCAGTCCACTTGCAGTTCATAAGTTTTAGGATACTTCCAAGTGCACACTGTTCAAAAGCTGATGCGAAATCATATAATATACGAAAATAAAACTAATGCAAAACATAAAAAAAAATAATGCATATCATTATTTGTACAGCATAGCAGAAATCTCAATGTAAATTTGAAATTGAAATGATTGACATTTAATTTTGGATAGAAATCTGTAATTTCGCTACTTTCCATTTATTTGTTCATCCTTTTAGAACGCCCTATTTGTGTTCTGCTTTACGCTATATCCTAAGACTTATGAACAGAGATCGTTGGCTCAGTAATGGAACATCGATTCGTCCATAACTATCCTTCCTCGATCCATTTGAACGAAACCACACATTATCGTTGGCTTATCCCAGCATCTTGGCCATTAACATCGTCGATCACTCGAAATGAATGATCGATCGGGTTCACGGATATCTCCGTTTCGCGAGCGCGTCGCGACGCCTGATCCGCGCAGAAATCTGACCGTTTCGGCCGCATTGTGCGCCGTAATTGTCAGAGGCGTAATATATGCTGTAATCGATATTGTAATGTGGTTTGGAAAAGGGTGGGAGTTACCGATGGCAGAAATAGTGTGCCCTGTAGAATCGAAGCTAAAACAGAAGCTGGATTTATGGGTCGTGTGAATCGCATACTCGCTGTTAAAAAGTTCATTTTCGAAACCATTTATTATTATTAATCGAGCAATTCGTTGTGGAAATAGGTCAACCCCACCTGTGGCAAATATTTAATTTTACCTTGATTTTGCCACTATTTATTATTTATTCCTCACAGCTGCTCTTTGCCCTACTCTCATAACAAATACTTTAATTGATGAAATTAAGATGAATCGATAGGATGACCGTTTTTACGAAAAAGGGGAACGATTCGAGTAGTAATATGAACGGGAATTTCCTCACCGTCCTCAAGTGCTCTCTGAGTGACCAGACGATAAATCCGGCTCAGGGAAGATGCTTCGCGACGTCTGGCCTGTCAGAAACGAAACGTCCGCGCGAATAGTCGAAGCGACGGGTAACCGATTCGCTTGGCGCGAAGCCTTGCACGGTAGCTGTCGGTTCATGTTATCGTCTTTCCGACTAGCATGCAAGAGCACGCTATGCTTTGGTTCAATTTTTCACAGGAACGCTTTAGCCCGATAGAAAAAAAATCCAACCTCGTCCCTGAGTTCGGTCCAATCACTCTTATCCTGGAATCTTCATCTTTGAACTACTACTTTGAAGGTAGATATCGCGATCTCCATTTCCTGTAATTGCACCCTTCTTCCTCGCCGTGGTGTTTTCCATTTGCGAGAGAGGAGTAAGAGTTCGATGCCGGCGCCCTTTGATCGGATTTCTCTGCTCCAACGGGGCTTTCTTAATTTCTGCCTGCTGACTTTAATCCTGCCACTTCCTTTCTCAGTAATACACCGCGGTTTAAGTTACTCCATCACCAGGCAACTTTTAATTAAATGCGTAAAAACCGACAGAAATCACTGTTCATATGTTTAAGACGTATTCCAATGTAATTAAATGAGCGACGAATGAATATGAAAGGACAAATAAAAATCTGGAGAATCTCTAATTACTTTCTAATATTGTATTCCGATTTATATTACTTTACATACTTTCAATTAAAAGAATCACATGTGTTTTATATAATTTGTATTCAACTATGGGGGACGATTTTTGTTACACAATTTGTAAAAGAGAAATCGAATGGGCGAGAATCTAAATTGCTAAGAAATCTGAATCGTAGATGAGTGTGCATTACAGTGGAAGCTTCGTCGAGAAACAGGTCATTGGATAAACGGTGACACTATTTTTCGATGCGAGTAAAATGCATTGGCACGAAGAAGAGACGTGCGCAGTCGGTTCGTAGAATGTTAATATCCACGAGTCCATTCAAGTGTATTAAACACGGCGGCGGGTTCCTCTTCTGAAGTAGAACAACCTAATGTACAGCCAGACCGTGTAGTAGAATAGATCCGTACACGTGTAGCTCGGGACCTGGAAACTAGACTTTGTACAGCGGGATGAAACGAGACTGCGACGGCGGCGTTTAGTTGGGTCAGCGAAATTGAACCGTGTACAATCGGATAATTGAAATCGCATTGCGTATTCTCTTTCTGTACGAGATAATAGAAACTGGAAATTATATTCAATCAGCATCGAGTCGATTTTTCGTAGACTTGTTATACTTTTTCATTTGACGTAGAATTTCATTGAAACTATTCGTGATTCACTCTTTGATTTTGCATCAGATTTTTCGATAGATTATCAGCACTTGAAAGTGTCCTAAAACTTTTATCAATGCAGATAATACAGAATCGTTTTAACATATTGCTACTCGATTCCGTGTTATCTATTGAATTAGCGAAATCACCGTTCGAAGGGCCTCGCCTCGCATAAATCGAATTCCCCGGTAGGAATATCGTGAAACGCGAAGAAATCAGATATTCAACGAACGCGTCGCGACGGAAGCGATGTTAAAATTTAATATGGGGGAAAGTGGCCGCGTTCCGCAGCGTCAATACGCCGCGCCCCGTCGGATTACGGCGCAATATCGACGAGTGGCAAGGGAGGACGGGCCCCCGTGAATTTTTCCACGTCGTCGATCGTGACTCCGAACGCTATAGTTTAATTCTGGCTGTCGTACGCGAAATTTGCCCCGTATTTTAATATCCAGCTGCGTTAACAATCGGGAAATACCGTTCCTCGGGGATTCTTAAATCCTGGCTTTTATCCTCACTTCTTGTTTTTCCACCGAGCAATTCGAGATCTCGTTGAAATACCTCGGATTGAAATTTATTGCCAAAGGGTTGTCAANCGTGATAATTATTGTATATTTATTAATTATTTACTAGAGTCCTGTGAAACTCTTGAAACGGATATTATAAAACAAATTAACTTATCGCTTCGTTCGAATTTAGTAAAACTGACAATGCGAACGTCAAGTGGGCAAACAAATTTACGTGAAAATTATATAGTCGATTTTCGATCAAGCCGGCTGCTCGGCGTGGCTAGTGCGGATGATTAACGAGGATATTATCCGCGAACACGGTATTAAACCGAACAGATCGGGCTACGCAGCATAACGAGAAGGGCGAGGGGTTCAAGTAAGAGTAGAAGGGATGGGAGGAGGTGGGTCCGATCATTGATTTCCGAGCGTGCTTATTGCCAGTTAACCGTGATTGCAGCTTTCCACGTGGATACGATGGTGGCATTCACGCGGTTCCGGAATTTATCTTGAACGGCCGCGCGAGACATTAAATGGCTTTTATGGCTAATTAATGCGAGTTGCGACGCTCTCCTCTCCTTCCTTTGTCGTAGCACGGCGACGCATTCACGATTCCTATCTTCTTGCAAAAAATAACGATCTCATAGTTTTGCGAAAATTACTTTTTATAGCATTTGACATAACATTAAAGAATATTTCACTTAGTGATTCAAATAATTATCGCAAGCTCGATTATGTCAATTTGTTTTTCAGCAGTTTGCGAATACACGCAATTGTCGATCTTTTTTTCAGAGATATTGTAATCCCGAAATCTCGAGCGGTGCAACAGAACCGACGAATGAGGACTGAAACTTCAATCGATGCCGACGATGACGATGCTTTTTTCGACTCTGAGGATGACGACGAGGATCAGGACGAATCCAAGTAAGTGTTTCTATTGTCTTTTTATTTATTTATTTATTAAATAGCATAAAGGTTTTTGCCGTATATAAAATCAAGTTAAGAAGACAGAAAGATATTTCACATGAATGAAATTTAACCAACATATAATATAATAATTTCAATTCGTTATATCGTCAAAAATTTCGCTTATATAATATAATTCAGACAACGAAGCGAATTAAACGTTCACTAAAATGTGTTTCGGTATAACATTTGTTTGAGTCAAAGCGTGTCAAGCTCGGAATAGGATTTAATCGAACGTTAATATAAATGAGTATAAACGCGCATTAAAAGCGAGGGGCCACTCGAACGTTTCCTCTTTCCACTCTTAAAAAACTGAAACAGCTCGTTCCTTTGTAATTGCAAAAAAAATTAAACGTTTATCCCCGGAATTGATCCGGACCTTCTCGCTCGTTCTACTTTCTGCGTACAAACGGCAAAGCAACGCGTACGCACGCATGCACGGCGCGGACGCTTTCAAAAAAAAAGAAGAGAAACGCTGACGTATGATCGAATAATTCGGTTTAATTGGTTCCTCTGTTCCCTGTCCTGTAAGTCGTATTGTTTCGTTAAAACGATAAAAAAGGGGACGGGGTAGAGATACGTTGGCGGAAAAATGAAAAACGAAAGGGAAAAAGCGTGGAGCCGACGTACACGCGTGCACACGTACACGTGTATATATGGGGGCGAGTCCCAGCGGGCGAACAGACGCCAACGACTGTTTTGTTTTTCACGAGACATTAAGCTAGAATTATTGGTTTCGCCTGTTCCCGGGCATCGAACGCAACGCTCGCCACCCCTTGGGACGCGGCCGAATAAAAGATTAACTTTACAGGTCGCGTGCTCACGGATGCGTGCCCTTTAGTGAAAAGGGCACGACTGCCTTACTTTCCGAAATATTGAAAACCGATCGTTACTTGCATTCATTTGAATGTGTAACGAGAAATCTGATAGATCCGTAATTTATATACACACATCAAATGTTCCGGACAATATAAATTAATTATATGTACGAGGTATACATTAATTATAGACGTATAAAATGTTATTGTTTTATTTACGTCGGATTCGTTGCTATACGATATACAATTATGATTATGTATAAGGCTTATACGTGGTCTGACCACGAAAACTCTTATACTACTTAAATCTTTTAACCGGTTCTTTATGCTCGTCGAACGCAAATTAGCGATACATGATTCAGNATTATTATTATTGCAACAATTAAAATATTCATTAATTTAAAATGAACAATAAAGCGAGATTGAAGTTGAAATCGTTGATTACACAAATATAAATAACTAAATATGATATATTTGTAATTTTGACATTTCCATTTTCACAATTTTGTTTAATATAATGAGAATGTCTCATATCGTGAAATTGTGCGACTTCACTTTCTGATAACTAATTTCGTATACCGAGATAATGGAATGTACGGAAAGAGAGCAAGGTAACAATTTTCCTTGAGACGAAATCGAATATCGTCTTTGCGAAGCTCGCTGGATTTCGTTGAAATTCAGTCGAGCCTGTACTATATCTTCGCCGAGAGGCATCGCCTCGGAGTGCGATAGAAGCTCGCGAGAGAATAAAAAATGAATTTCGAACGACACCGTCGAGGTGGAAGAATAGAGCAGCGGAAAAGAAACACGTGGATCCGGATGCGTTTACTTTAGCGCGGAGCCACGTCAAACAGGAGCTACCCTGCTGCCTAGAGGGAAAGGGGTAGGGTTCGGAGGTCGGTCGGCGGTCGGGAGAAAGAAAAATTCCACGGGGAGAGCAGCTCAGACGGAAGACGAACGAACGCGAGCGGAGAGAAAAGGCAGGGGTGGAAAAAGCCAGCGTTGCCAGCGAAACATTTCTTCCTACTTAAATTTGCACGAGCGAGCAGAGCAAAGAGGGTTTTCCATCCAGAACCTACATCCCTCTTTCGCTTTTTTCCGACTGTCCCCTATCGCGTTCCCGTTCTCGCCACTCCTGTTTCATTACGAGTGAGTTCCCGGAAAATGTCTCGCGGTACGCTTGCCCGGAGGATTACACCGACGGGAAACAAGCCTAATTGCGAGACGACGCGCGACCTCCCGAGCAATCCGAGTTTCGAATCACCGCCGATGTCCGACAAGTCCGGCTTTATTCTACTTGTACAAACACACTGTTACCAGTATTAGGACACTTGTTTCATGCAGTGGTTGATGCATTATTGATATAGCGATTGATATAGTGTTTTATATACTGATTGATTAATTAGTGAATAAGGATCAGGAATAATTGGTGATGAACGAACTAATTCATCGATTTCTGAAGTGTTCGAGATAGAAGAAAATTGTATACGACCTTTTTCACACGTAATAGCAGTACCTATAACTTATATTTAAAGCATTTCTCGATATTTTGAAAAAAAAAAGTTTTCAATTTTTCCGAGATTTTTCCAAGGGGTACCCCTTCAGATTTCGCGAAATTTTCGTTTTTTGTCCATAACTCCCAAACCGTTGGACTTACGGGAAAATTGCATCAGACCATTCTTGTAGAGGCCGTCGAGATCTACAATTTCCATGTAAAAGTTTGTTGCTAGCGTCAATAGTTAACGAGTAATTTGCAAAAAACTGTTTTTTCGTTTTTCGTCAATAACTCGTAAACTATTAATGCTAGCGAAAAAGTTTTATATGGAAATTGTAGATCTCGTCGTCCTCTACAAGAAAGGTCGTATGCAATTTTCTCGTAGGTCTAACGGTTTAGGAGTTATTGAGGAAAAACTAAATTTTTTGTCAAAAGTTTGCTGTTTCGACGGTGAGAAGACCGGATTTTGTCGATACCTATAAAACGTCAATTAATCGTACGTAACTCGTTAAATATCGAATTTAGAAGAAAAATGCATCGAATTTTTATTCATTTTTACAGTAATTACTGTCCCTAATATTTGCGACGTGGATTGTACGTAGACCCGTTCTACTCGTCGCTGGTGCGATTCAATCGCGCTGGAAGGTGTTTTACGGTTTGCCCTGCTCGTCGCTTTTATTTCGCTTAAGGGTGCTTTCAGCTGCGACGTGTTTTTACAACCGATCGGTGGGGGAAAATTGAATGTCGAAGTTAAATATTGAGCTTTCCGCTTTGTTCCGGAATTCGAGAGAGGTTGGATGTGTTCGATGAACTCGGAGTCTGTGAAAATAGCGGGTACAGAACCGGGCACTCCTTCCTCTAGTCTCGGTCAAAAATGTATCCGGTTGTAGGAAACCAAAATGGGGGCAAGGAAGTTTTCGTGAAAATGCCAGCGACGGCTAACAAATTTATACGGTCGCGCGCGTTTCGACGTTGCACGTTTTACGTTCCGACTCGCAGGAGCTCGTTGCGACCATTTCTCGGCTCGGTGTAACTGAAAACCCTTCGTAGCGGAAATTCTCGATGAAAGGGAGGAGGTCAGCACGGGTCACGACGCGAGCACGTACGAGCTTGAACGTCGCCAGAAAATTGTACGCGGAGATCGTTAAGTAGAAGTGGCCCGTTATCCGCACCCTTAACGGCCCTTTGTCCGCGGCCTTTCCATCGAATTCGCTACAATTTCTCCTCTGTTTAACCAACGATTATATTCGAACAGACCGGGTTTAGTCGTCGAATTGAACAATCGCAAATTCGTTTTAACCCACTAATGGCTACCATTCAAATATCCGGGGAAGTAAGAGCAAACACTGCTTCGAGGTCTGTCAGGTGCGATAGAGTATAAGCGTGGATAGGATAGATGAGTTAGTGGATGGACGGTTTAGCTAATCTCGAAGTTTGTATCAAGCTTTCTCTTTACAATTATTTGCACGTTTTGCTGTTACGACAAATAGATTAATTGATGCGATGTAGTTGTATGACGACTGAATCGCGCGAACGGAACAGTGACGATTCCGGGTGACTAAAGAGTATTATGCGTCGGGTCTGAAAGCGGATTTTACCGAGCCCCGGCTTCCGGTTCACAGAAACGACCCTGGCTGTCCCATTTTCCGCGCGCGACAGCTTCGCTCCAGCACCACTCGTCTTTTACACGTTCCTCTTTGTCACAATTAGCGGGCCGCGAAGCTTTTCGAAAACGAAAGTAAGGTTTTGCCCGACCGTGAAACCGCCGCCTTTCAAATGCCAGTTCCCCATTACAAGGTAATTCGATCTTTCCTCTCAAAGGGTATCGACGTGACGAAAGAGATGAAAGTACATGCTTGCAGCTCTTCGCCAATTTTCTGCAAAGAAGACTGAAATCTAATAAGAGATCTTTTCATATTGTAAATATTATAGTGACTTACTGTTCTATACTGCTTGCATTTATTTTTCTAAAGAAATCTAATGATCAGAGTTCATTTGACGATCGCATAAACGTGAATCGTTTAATTTCCGAAAAGGAATCGTACGCGTTTCTTAAATCGGGACGGTCGTAAACGATGGACCGTAAATACGCGGGAGTAAAACGAAACGTGAATTCTTGCGATATCATTGGCTTGGGAGTTCGAACTCAAACAAATCACCGACGACACTCGTTTCATCCTTCCTACGAAAGAATACCAGTTAGTAGAATTATCGTATTCGGTCTTCGATCATTGTTTCTCCCGTTCTCTCTTTCATTCGATAAGACAATTACCTCGGAGCGAACTCGGTCCTCTAGCAATTTACAATTCACTGAAAGCCTCTTAAAAGCATCGCGAACAGAGAAAACAACCGAGTCTTCCGGGGACACGAAAAACACTCGAAAGACGTCGCCGAGTTCCTCTAATGTTCCAAGTTATTCCCGGGTCCCGCCATAAAGAATAGTTTCCATGCCTCTCTATCTTTTCCCCTCGCGCTCTCTCTTTTTCTCTTAGACCTCTCCCGGGGAGAAGGAAGCTGTTGGTCTAACAAAATGTGTATTTACGAGCTTCCGGCCGTCGATAGCGTTCGAGAATGAAAAACGAACGGAACTTAGAGACTCGATATCAAATAAGGAATTTCGACAATTAGGTTTTTATTGATTAACC